CTCTTTTTTTTTTTTTTTTTATATATATATTTTTTTATCATGTATATATAAAAAAGCTACTTCTGAAATTGTTTTTAAGCCCTTCACACACCTTATCTGTTAAGAATCTTTGGAATTGTACAGCTTCTGATTTTTATATAGAATTGGATGACTCCTGCTCAATGTTGTTAAAAAACCACTATAGAACTGCTTTAACACTTTATCATGGTGTTTTCTGATGCCTCTGCCTTAGGCAATTTGTGAAGGGAGGCCTGCTTTGGTGGTGCCATTGGCTGCAATGGCGTATTTATATCGCAGAACTTTGGCATTCCACTGTATTCTGCCATATTCCATTGATAACCATGCTCCTGCTATATGGTCCCTGCTATTTATATGCTGTTGTCTTATTTTATGCAGAATAATGAATAAATTGACTCCTGAGAAATTTGATGTCCTGAAGGGTCAGTTAATCGATTCTGGCATTACATCAGCTGAAATCTTGAAGGTCACTTTTCAACGGATGTTGTCAATCTATTTCTGTTCACATTCTTAGTTGCTGTTGTCTTAATTGCTTTGTTTTTTGAATGCAGGATGTCATTTCACTTATTTTTGATAAGGCTGTTTTAGAACCTACATTTTGCCCCATGTATGCTCAGCTGTGTTCTGATCTTAATGAAAAGCTGCCTCCATTCCCATCTGAAGAACCTGGTGGGAAAGAAATCACCTTTAAGAGAGTACTCCTGAATATTTGCCAGGAGGCTTTTGAAGGTGCTGAAAATCTGAGGGAGGAAATAAAAAGGATGACTGCCTCTGAGCAGGAGACGGAGCGTATGGACAAGGAAAGACTGATCAAGATTCGTACCCTTGGAAATATCCGTTTAATTGGTGAGCTATTGAAGCAAAAGATGGTTCCTGAAAAGATTGTCCATCACATTGTTCAGGTTGTAAGGATTTAAGATGTCAAATATTACATAAAATGTATGTGTTGGTTTGGCAATATCCACTTACAAGTATGGTTGTTAATTTGAGCAGGAGCTTTTAGGATCCCCGGAGAGCAAGTCTTGTCCAGTTGAGGAAAATGTTGAAGCCATATGTCAGTTTTTCATTACTATTGGCAAGCAGCTAGATGAAAGTCCTAAATCACGGCGTATAAATGATATTTACTTTAGCCGATTGAAAGAACTGAGCACAAACCAACAACTTGTACCCCGGCTTAGGTTCATGATTCGGGATGTTATAGAGTTGCGTGCTAATAATTGGGTTCCTAGACGTGAAGAGGTAAATTAGAAAATTGTTATATTTTTTGACATATAGTTCCCTATGTTAAGTGCACTTGTTATTGATTTATGTTTCAATGCTGACTTATGTAGGTCAAAGCGAAAACCATTAATGAAATTCACTCCGAGGCAGAAAAAAATCTTGGTTTGCGGCCAGGTGCCACTGCAAGTATTAGAAATACCCGTGGTGGTATTCAAGGAAATGCCAGCTCTGGGGGCTTTCCTATTGCTCGACCTGGTACAGGGGGTTTGATGCCTGGAATGCCAGGGACCAGGAAGATGCCTGGGATGCCTGGATTTGATAACGACAACTGGGAGATTCCTAAGACTAGATCCATGCCAAGAGAGTTGTCAGGTGTTCAAGCTGCTGGACGCAGCAACTCTTCTTTACCCTCAAAGCCCACAACCCTTAATTCGAAATTGCTACCTCAAGGTAGTGGTGGTATTGTAAGTGGAAGAAATAGTGCCCTAGTACATGGAGGTGGTACAATTTCTGCTCGCCCGACAAGCTTTGGTTCAAGTCCTGAGGCAGCACCTCAACTCCCTTCACCTGCTAAAACCGTTACTCCTGTTCCTGTGTCCTTTGAGAAGCCACAAGCTCCAGCTCCAAAATTGAAGACTGATGATCTTCACCGCAGAACTGTCTCTATTCTAGAGGAGTATTTCAGTATTCGGCTTTTGGATGAGGCATTACAATGTTTGGAGGAATTAAAATCTCCTTCTTACCACCCTGAGGTTGTTAAGGAAGCCATCTCCCTTGCACTCGATAAAAGTCCACCGTGTGTTGAACCTGTTGCCAATCTCATTGAGTATCTGTATATTAAGAAGATTCTTACTCCTATAGACATAGGGACTGGCTGTTTGTTGTTTGGTTCTCTGCTGGATGATATTGGGATAGATTTACCTAAAGCACCAAGTAATTTTGGTCAGATAATTGGGAAACTAATTGTGGCTGGAGGTTTGGATTTTAAGGTGGTGAAAGAGATTCTGAAGAAGGTGGATGATGACATGTTCCAGAGAGCAATATTTGAGAGTGCGGTAGGGGCCATTAGATCTGCTTCTGGGCAAGCTGTGTTGGATTCACAAACATCTGATATTGAGGCTTGCCAGAGTCTGCTCAAGTGAATCAAAATGATTCTTTAACTGGACCAACCTGTCTTCCTTTGCTGCTACTTTCAAATTTAGATACCTTCGTCCTCCCTTTTCAGTAAAAGCATTTTGTATTAAAGTATGTTATAAATGGAGTTTCCAGTGTCAGGTTTTTTTTTCAAGCTGTAAAATTTTATTTTTGATTTTTTGAGATGTTTATTGAGGGAAAAGTTAAACCATAAAGCTACGGATTTTATTTTCCGGTTAGCTAATCAGGTGCCAAGTTTCTCCGGTTAAGTGTCCTTAGGGGTTCAAATGTTTTTGTATTTCTTTAGTTTCAATTTTTACTTAATTTTGTTGACATAGTAATTGTTTAACTGGTTAGTTCATAAATATCATTATCGTTATATGTTCATTACCCTGTTTGAAGATGTTGATTGCTCAGCTTGCACTCATGCTGCTGCTTGTTGCTCTTATCTTGAGGGTTATGAATGACCCGTCATAGAACCCTATAGGTGAAATCTTGTTTTAGAAAATGTGTCTTGAATTACAATTTATGATCAATGCTCTCTCAATTCCACCATACGAATGATACGATCCTTTCTTTGGAATTATGGATATTTGTTGTTATATATAGAGTTTTGGAATTATAGATATTTGTTGTTATATATAGAGTTTGATATGTGACGCTTTTCACCATTGGTTTTTATCAGCAGTTTTTGAATATGATTTTCTTCAATCATTTGTTATAATCCCTCATCTTTTTGTACTTAATGGAAAGATTCCAGTTTCATACGCATGTTACGTGCTCTCCTTTGTATTTAGAACAGAAAAAAGAAGCGACGGCCGGTTGCTACATCCAACCACTTGTCATTTGCGAATGGAATAAGAATCAACGGCTCAATCAAGATCTTTTTTGTCTCCCGGATATCTTTTATAAATAAAAATAAGATTACTGCTGTCATCATGAAATTTGTTTTTCATTTATGATTAACCTTTGAATAATGGTTCAAGTCATTGATCTTTAGTTTTCTTTCTTCTTAAATGTGTTTAGTTCTGTAATTCATCAAATAGATAATTGTAGCCTTTCAGATTTAAGGGCTCAAATCAAGTCCCCTAGGACCCCTACTTTTAAAACTATTGAACTTCAAATTAATTTACTGTTAAATTTCTAAAGATATTTTTAGGTGGCAAGAATTTTGGTGATCTAACTTATTAGAGACGATGTGACAAATAAAAATTAAAAAGGGTTGGATGAGGTTTGAATTCACTATTCCATGCTTTAATAATAAATGAAGATCAATAGGACCTTAATTAATTCTTTTTTAAAAGGACACTAATTAACTTTATAACTATATGAAATATATTATACACAATTTAAGAGTGCGACGAACTAAAAATGCAGACACATTAATTACCCGCAAATAAATAATAATATTATATAATTAAATAACTAATATCTTATACTTTTTATTTCAATTATAACATGATCACTCTATATTAAATAATTTTTTCTTTTTATAAAATTGTATTCTTTTGATACTTTAGTGATTGGAATACCATTGATATAATAGATATTTGTTGTTTGTCATTAGAAAAAATTGTTAAATATAATTAAATTTCTATGATCAAGTATTTGCAACAATATTTTAATTAATAATAAAATTGAAATTTGATTTTGATACAGATATAAGGTATTATTATTGATGTAATAAATTTTTAGTGAAATACAAAACATAATAAAAAAAAGACTCATTATTTTTAAGATATTATTTAATAGGTTATTTTAATTTTAATTAAAATGTTGAAATAAAAAATTTAAAAATATAAAAAATTATTTTAAATTTATTTATTTTTATTGACATAAAATTATTACATCAATCATTAAAACATTGAAAGAAAAAAAAATATAAAGCAATACAATTTTATAGAAGAAAAACTATTTAAAGTGGAGTGATTAAGTTATAACTAAGGTAAATAATATTTAAAATATAATTTTATTAATATATTTTGTTTTATAATATTATCACTTTATGATATTATATTATTCATTTACTTGTATTAAATATATGTCTATTTTTAGTTTCCTACACATTTAAGTTTGTTATAAAAAAAATTCACTCATTTCAAGAATAATTCTTAGTGGAGTGATTCTACTTAATAACTTATTTTATATTAAATTTTATTTCAGTCATTTAACTATTAAATTAAAAGTTCTTAATGAAGAAATAAAATATAGAACATTTGAAAACAATTTGATAATTGGTTAGATTAATTCAAATTGTCATATATTCATAAAAATATATTTTTACACTAATTTGAATCTATATAACGAAGTATCGTATGATTTTTAAACTTTAAAAAAAATTAAAAATTTGATCCATTTTTTAAGAAATTTTAATTTAATGGTTGAATCATTAACATTCAATGTAGTTATGAATTTGATATTTGGTTACATTAATTCAAATTGTCATATATTCATAAAAATATATTTTTACACTAATTTGAATCTATATAATGAAGTATTATATGATTTTTTAACTATAAAAAATTAAAAATTTGATCTATTTGTTAAGAACTTTTAATTTAACGGTTGAATCATTGACATTTAATGTAGATTATGAATTATTAAGTAGAATAATTCTATTAGTGTTACTCTTGGAATAAGTTGATTCTCACCATAAATTATATATAATATATTTTTAATTTAAATACGTTTTTAGTTTTTCAAATATGAGATAAAATTATTTTTGATCTCTCACATTTAAAGCTATGTTTTTAGTCTTGTAATTTCTTTTTAAAAATATTATTTATTGTATTTGCTTAAATATTGTTAATGAATTGGTCAAACGTTGTCATATAAAATTTACCTACTAGTATCTTTGTCGATAAAAGTGTCATATTGAATCTAACTGATGCTACATAATTATCTAAATATGTTATTATTAGTAAAAAAGATATGCGTGTATGATAGTTTAAGGGGATTAAAACAAATTTTGTTTTTGAAATTATTTGAATTGAAAAGATCAATTTTAAATTTAAGGAACTAAAAGTAAATTTATCTTAAATTTAAAAAATTAAAAATATATTTAAGTTTATAGTTTTCATATGTGTAAGTGTGCATGTGCACAAATATAGGGTTGAGATTCATTAATACCATGATACCAAATTAGTGAAATAACACTGTCCATAATTTTTTTTATAGAATGTAAATTTAATTGATCCAATCATACATTTAATTATATCACACTAATGATCATGGATATCAAGTTTCAATTGATTTGAGATCTTCAAGATATATTATCTAACAAAATAAATATTTAAATGTATTTGAGATATCATTTTAGATGTTAAAATAATATGATGAATTATCAAATAACTTTAGAATTGTATGTAATTTTATATATTTAATCTAATTAATAATATTACCAAATATATTAATTAATATAAATTTATATTTTCATGTAAATTTATATAAATAAATTAAAAATCATTATTCTATAGAAAGGTACGTAAATATATTGAATATGATATAATATATTAATAAAAGAAGGTTACTTTTTTTACTGCAAAAGAAAGAATTAAAAATACATTATATGGATATTGTTTTTAGTGAAATGGTGAATATATTATATAGATAATAATATCTTATTTCAATATCTAAAACATGCAAAGAAAATTTGAAAAAATTTTATTTATTTTAATTCCTTTACACTTTGGAATCATTATATTTGATCCGAAAAATTAGAAAATTTTAATTTTGATTTTTTTAAAATATTTTTTTTGACTTTTATTTTTAAAAATATCTAAATTCTATAATTTTTGTTATAACAATCATTTTAAGATAAATAAATTATATTTATTCTAATCATCTTAATTTTTTTTTTAGAAATGTCACACTCTTACATAATATTACAAATAGCTATAAATATCACTTAGAATGATCACTTAATTTAGATAAGTAAGTAGTTAAAAAATATCATGTAATAGTAAACACTAAAAATAATAATTTAAAATTTTAGAGGGATGAAAAATAAATAATTTTTTATAAACATCAATCAAAATTTATTTATTTGTAAAATTAAAAATATATTTAATAGAAATATATACACAATATATTTTTCTCTGTGCCATATATATATATATATATATATATATATATTAAAGAAATCTATTAGTCTAGCTGTTATAGAAGTTCCTTGTTGGAATATAACGGTGGGGTTTTGATTCTTCTCCAACACAGAAAATTTATCTCCTATTTTTAGATTGTGTCACATAGTCATCCGATAATACATATTTGACACCACATCATAATAAGATGTCACATATTAATTTTTTTATTGTCATATCATTAAAAGTTCAAAACTTGTCAATGAGAAAAAAGTTAAGAACCTAATTAATGTAATGTGTATTCAAAATACTAAAATTTCAAATTCACCGTAACATAAGATAAAAATAAAATTAAACAATTATTTTTTATATTTGAATTTTTATTAGATCAAAATACAAATTTGGATTCTCAATATATCAATTTTAATTTTAACAAACTTATACATTTTTATTAGAGAAAAAGTTTTTAATAAATATTTGGTTACAATAGATAAGTCTTTTAGACAAACTAATTCGTCTGTGTAAGACAAATAAATTTAATATGTATCATTTATGATATCTGATAACTAAATTATATTTGGCTACGTTATTCTTTAATAAATCAAAAAGAACAAATTTTTTTTTGGTGCTTACACTTCAAAAAGAAATGAAGACATTACTAAATATCATATCACTTAAATATGAATAAATGTTAAAACTTAATTAATAGATGTGAATTTGTTACCGACTAAAATTTCGTATTTTTAAAATTAAAAAGATTAAATATCTCTATTTTAAAATAGAAAGACTAAAAATTATGAATTGATAGAAATAAAGAGACTAAAAGTGCAATTTAGTCTAAACAATTTCATACTTCCTACCGTAATTTATTATAAAATTTTTTTAAAGCCAATTTAATCTTAAAATATTATTTTAAAATTATTTTTTCATTAATCAAACATGATTTAGTGATTATAAAGTCTATTCTAATATACTTGATTGACCTGATGTCTAAACACATAATAAATTTTGAATTTATTTTTATTAGAATTGAACTTAGTCTATCCAACTTTCATTGGATTGAGTATATACTATTTCTTAGTAACCATTAAATATGATATATAAAATTTAAAAATATTCCCCACTAGATTGGATCAAGATTAATGTTGATACACTAGTTTGTCTAGAAGCTCTCCTAGTGGCTTGTGATGGTGCGGTTAGACATGCGTATGGAAGTTGAATTTCTACTTTTAGCAAGAAGTTACAAGGGTGCTTTGTGGACGTTACGGAGGTTTGGGCTATAATTTTAGCATTGGAACATGCTTG